CCCTGGGACTCACCCCTTCTTCACGTTGAAGCCGTGTTAGGTCGCGTGTCCTACCTCTATATAAGACGAGAGTATAGGAATAGGCTAAGGACGTGCTGTTCTGTAGGCGATGCACACGGAGGGGGTTCACAGCCCTGGAGTCCTCTGCAGTTCTCTTATGTCAAGTTTAGCTTGGCCACTCTGTACCTCCACAAGTACCTGTCATTTCCCCGTGGCTGCTGCTGCCGCTGCCTGGAGAGGACGTTAGTGAGGACTTCTGTGCAAGTCCACCTGCCTCTGCTGCTTGCTGTTGGCCTCCTGTTTCTAGGAGCAGAGGAACATCTGTTTGTAACTGCCCTCTTTCTTGTGAAGCTGGGGCTTCGGGCCGCTTTCATCCGTGTCCACATGATTTCTCTCTGGCCCACCTGCGGGAGGAGAAATGTGGCCAGAGAGGTTGTCCCGTTTCTGAGCTGCGCGTTGGCAGGTCTGGTCTTGCGCCCAGAACCCAAACTTCCCGTCATGGAGAACAGGTGGTTGATTGGAGAGTGCCTGCTGGGAGCGACAGAGGGAACTGCATGGTGGCTGGGCTCCAGCAGGGCCATCTTGGTGGGCAGGCGGCGCAGGGTGGACGAGCCTTCAGGACTGAGCCCAGCCTCTACTTCCAGGGGCCCACATTACTGTTGGTAATGGTAGGCTCTTCCAGGAAATGAGAGAAGTCAGTGGAAGGAAATGGGCCCCAGGAGAAGTTGCCATCTTGCTGGCATCTCTTGCCGGGTGTCTGAGGTTAAGTGTGCACAGGTGCAGTGCTTGGTTGACAGTGTGGGTGCCTGTCAGCTGTGAGCCAGAGTGGACACCACCTCGGTGCTGGCCTTGCCCAGAAGCAGTAGCAGCTGTGGACAAGAGACCTACTGGTGGGCCGCCCTGCTTGGGTAGTGGGTGCCTGCTGCTGAGTGTGGAGACAGGAAGTCAGCAAGTGGCCCTTTTACTGGACTGAGCCCTCCCAGGAAGTCCACAAAGCTAAGTTCAGAAGGACAGCAGTGTTGCTTTTCAGAATGAAGCAGTAAAAGGTAGGATCCTCTGAGGGCTCCAGCCACTGGAATGACTTGTCCTTCTCACAGTTTTGTCGTGTGCGTTTTAACCAGCACATTTCTGTGACCTCGGTTGACAAAATGTTTTGCCTTCCAAGACACACCTCGAAGACAGATTACTCAAAAGTTTCTGGCTAGACGAGCAGTGTTAAAAATTATATTTATTCTTAACCCTGAAGCTGACTTTTTATTGATCTTGACCTATCACGCTAATTAGAAGCATAAGTAGATGACATGTTCCTTTGTTATCAAGCACAGAGGAAACCGATTCGCTTCCTTATCTCTGTCTCCGAGTGTCTCCTGGCAAGCCCACCGAAGAATGTGCTGGAGCTAGAATGCAGTTCGCGTCCACTGCCCAGCCTGGTGAGTGGACGGAAGCCGAGGGCGTTTATCTGTAGACAGTGCAGGAAACCAGAGACTTAAGTCTCTTCTTCGGAAATGTTTCATTTACACGCAAGATGAGCAGCTCACGTTTTCGGAAGTGTCTCTCATGCTAGGTCTGTTTGCATTTGGTCAGACTGGGTCTCAGTTGGCCTTTACTTCTTGGTGAGAAGTATTTGCCGGGTGCCCCTTCCCAGCAGCCCTGGTTCTGATGCTTCTGATGTGCTGGGGTGAAGTCGCCTGGCGTCCTGTGCTGGAACCACCCAAGTGGGAGAGAGGAGTGTGCAGGGGCCCAAGGCACTCTGCATGCTGGTGTGTGATAATTGTTGCACCTCTCCCTGTTTCCCTAAATATATGCTGAGTTTTCTACTTGCACATCTCAAGGAATCTCTCATGTCTATGGAGCAGAAATAAGGTGGACCAGGCTTGATGACATGCTAGAACTGTAGTTATTTCTGTGATGTCACAGAAATAAAAAAGGAAACATTCAGTTTATAAGAGTAATTGCTGTAAGTGTCACAATATGACAAAATTAATTTTGATTTAAAAATAAAGCCCTTTGAGAAGAGCTGATTTTTATTAGGGCCAAAGAATGCCAACCTTTAGAATCCAAAGATCGTTTACATATGACTGTGCGAGAGGCTGGAAATGGAACCACCCAGCCGGTCCCCTTGCGGGCGCACTGCACCCGTGCTTGCAGCGCTGTCACGTGGTGTTCACGACTGTGTGTTGGTGGTCTTCTTCCAAGACCCAAGTAGCATTACAACACTTTATTAAAGACCGCATCTATGAGCATAAATTAAATGCACCGCACACCTCGGCCATCTGTCTTCTCTTTGTTTATTCTTCCTTTTAAACCAAACCTAATAAACTTGAAACCCAGACACGCTCTAGAAATGCAGGTTGCCCTTTGATTCGCAAGATGCCAGGTTCACGTTCCTTCATTCAAAATGTAATTCCGGGACCCTTAACCCTGGCAAGTTTCACGAAAACCTCCCTGATTCGCACTGTTCAGGCCGTGGCAGGCTCTGAGACACTGCGGCTGGGTCACCTGAACACCAGGGACTTGCTCAGAGCATCAGTTAGGGTGGAAGACGTAGTAGCTTTACTTGATGTGTTGACATTTTACTGCAGTATTCTTTCTTTCTCATTTCTAATCTTGTCGTTGGCCATTCGGATGTGCCAGCGGCATGGGGGCTGTGGTATCTAGTTAAGTAGAGAAACCCTTAGAGCCTGAACATCCATGAGTAACAATTGTAGGGCCTTGGCATTTCACACTCAGAAAAATGCAATTCAGTGTAAATCTGAACTTATTAAATTTGGCTGGTAATTGAACTAACACATTCAGTAAATCCAGAGTGATTTAAAGTTGCTTGGATAAGAGAGTTGAATTTTACTTTGGGGGAAGGAGTGTGGAAATATAGGAAGTAACATTTACTGATAAGCAGATAATCATTACTTTGTCCTCCGTAAACAGACACAGTGTCTCTTTAGCAGGGTGTCCAGCCCATTCCTCTTCTCTCCTCCTAGGGTAGCACCAGCGTCTCTGGCTTCCTGAGACCAAAAGCAGGACATTATTTTTTTTGTTTCTACTTGTCTCTCTGTCCCCAGCTCCAAGTACTATTGATTTGAAAATAATTGAGCTGTTCTGTATGGGGCCTGCCCCTAACCGCTGACCCCTTTACCTCCCTCCCAGCTTAGCATGTCCACCGTAACCCATAAGTCTGCCCACCCAGCTTAGTATGTCCACCGTAACCAGGAGTCTGCCCACCCAGCTTAGCATCTCACCGTAACCCACAAGTCTGTCCACCCAGCTTAGCATCTCACCGTAACCCACAAGTCTGCCCACCCAGCTTAGCATGTCCACTGTAACCCACGAGTCTGCCCACCCAGCTTAGCATGTCCACTGTAACCCACAAGTCTGCCCACGCAGCTTAGCATGTCCACTGTAACCCAGGAGTCTGCCCACCCAGCTTAGCATGTCCACCGTAACCCCATAAGTCTGCCCACCCAGCTTAGTATGTCCACCGTAACCAAGAGTCTGCCCACCCAGCTTAGTATGTCCACCGTAACCCCATAAGTCTGCCCACCCAGCTTAGTATGTCCACCATAACCAGGAGTCTGCCCACCCAGCTTAGCATGTCCACTATAACCCAGGAGTCTGCCCACCCAGCTTAGCATGTCCACTGTAACCCAGGAGTCTGCATTCTTCAGTGATGTGTCTTGATGTAGACCTCTTTCACTTGTGCTGGGCACTCTGGGGACCTGTTAATCTGGTGTTGCACATCTGTTCGTTCTGGAAATTGTCTTGCATTATTTCTTAACAATTTTCTTTCTACCTTTTCCTCTCTCTCCTGGTTCTGCTAGCTCTCTCTTAGATGGGTGTTAGACTTTTTGGATTGAACTTTAATTTTCTTATGTTTGCTCTCCTGTAACATTTTGGAGTATACCTTCCAATGTCTTACTGGGTATTTTATTTATCATATTTTTAAATTTCAAAAGTTTCTTTTTATCTTCTGAAAACATGGTTGGGTGGTGCACCTCACTGCAGTGGTTGGGTGGCTCGCCCCCACCTGCCTTTTCTCTAGAGAAAGATCCTCCTTCGTCTTTTTGAGATGCTTGGATGCCGAAGCCAGGTTTAGAGAAGGACACATGAGTCTGGTCTCATTTACCAGGGAGAATTCAGTCATCCTTCTGAGCTGTCCTCTGTGCCTCCTGGTTGGGTCCCCAAATCATTGCTCCTGCCTCTAGGGGACAGGGGCTGCTGCCTGGCTGGGCCAGGTTTGTGGGCCCCAGGGTCAGACTTTTTCTTCACTCCCTTCTAAATAACCCCTCTTAAGCCTCCTCTTCACTTTCTTCTTCTGCAGGGCCTGAGGCGTCCTGTCCCTGTGTGTGTCTGGGAGTTGCTTCTCCATGTCTTCCCCTCTGCACCCTTGGGTGGGCCTTCCTCCACTCTGCTAAACCATTAAACACTGTGTTTTAACAGTCGAGTTTGTTTCTGGTGATTGCTCATTCCCTTTGCACTTTTGTTGTGATTTTGAAGAGGCTAAAAGCTTTACTCTGCCCTCTAGAGAAGGAAGTCTGTTTTTTAGAGAGCAATACCTTACCCTAGTGGATGTCTCAAATGTGGGAACAGATTTGATGTTGATTCTGGGGTGTCTGGGGAGAGGCACAGGCTCTGGATGCTGACTGTGGCTCCACCCCTGACCACTGCGCACTGAGCTGTTGTCTCCAGAGAGCATCATTACTTCCATCCTGCCCTGGAGCCCCGTGTGCCAGGTGATGACCGTTTAGTTCCTCGTGGGGCCCGGCAGGAGCTCCTGCCCACTGCACTTCAGTACTTGAATGGCCTGGAGCCTTTTTACCCTCTGAACTTTCACTGGTGGCAGGAGGGGAGCTGACTAGTCAGGACATGCTCCTTTGTCAGAGGTCAGGCCTCCTTAGCGCAGTGGCCCTGCCACGTGGTCCGTGAGCCCTGACCAGCACCTGCGGCCCGGGGCAGCGGGCTGGGGCCGCGAGCTCACGTCTCACTGCTTCTTCTTGGCTCCACAGAGGGTGTTCGGAGCTCTGCCGGATCCCCATGGTGGAGTACAAACTGGACAGCGAGGGCACCCCCTGCGAGTACAAAACCCCCTTCCGGAGGAACACCACGTGGCACCGGGTGCCCACCCCGGCCCTGCAGCCCCTGCCCAGAGCCTCGCCCGCACCGGGCACGCCCGACCGGCTGCAGGGCCAGCAGCTGCTCCAGCAGGCCCAGGCCGCCATCCCGCGCAGCACCTCCTTCGACCGCAAGCTGCCCGACGGCACCAGGTACTGGGGTGCCCCGCTTCCTCGGGGACAGACGGCCCTTGTCAGTGCTGGGGCTGCAGCTTCAGGCTGTGGGAGGGACTTTCCACTGGGCTTCTTGGCTTCTGAGTCAGCGTGTTCTGAGCAGGCGGGCAGGCAGGGCTGGGGCAGCCTGGGGTGCAGGGGTGCTTGGACCTGCCCTGCTCCTGGCCCTGCGGCAGTGCCGGCGGAATGCTGGTCCTTCCGAGGGACTGAGGAATAGGAATCCGCAGTGATAAAAATAGTCACGGGGTGTAAAGTGCAGCATGGGGAATATAGTCCATGATATTGTAATAACTGTATGGTGCCAGGTGGGTACTGGAAATATCAAGGGATCACTTTGTAAAGTTTATATGTCTCATCACTATGTTGTACACCTGAAAGTAATATAATACCGTATGTCAACCATAATGGAAAAGTAAATTTTAAAGAAAATGAGGGTCCTAACCACAGATCCCGCCCACTGAGGCCGCGGCTTACCCCTCCATCAGTGACCCTGGTCAGCTCATTCTCTAAACCATCTTGGGAAAGACCCCTAGAAATCATTGTGCGTGGCTCTCTAGGTACGTGCGACAGTTCTCAGTGTAGATAAAACTGCCAAAACAGTGAATTCATTCTGTCATCCTAAAGTGGGTGGCATTTTAAGAGGCCCCTACATCATAAGCATGTCTTAGTTTTTCTCTCAAAGTGAGTTGAGTTTAAAATTAATTTTTCAATGGGAGAATGCACTTGTTTTAAAGTTAAACCCAATGCATTAGAAGCTGGGGGGCATTTTTGGATACATAATTTGCATAAGCTGTTCTAAGTGAGCAAAGCTGTAAATGTGTTTCATTATTGTTTTTGGTTGTTTCAATCTTCACCCGAGGATATTTTTCCATTTATCTTTAGATAGAGTGGGAGGGAGGGAAAGAGAGAGAGAGAGAGAGAAACGTCAATGTAAGAGATACATAGATTGATTGCCTCCTGCACGACCCGGACCAGGTCCGGCAACCAAACTGCAACCAAGGTATGTGCCCTTGACCGGAACCGAACCTGCAACTCTTCAGTCCGGGGGCCGACACTCTAACCATTGAACCAAAATGGCCAGGGCATGTTTTGTCATGTTTTTAATTCCCACTCCTTTTGTCTCAGCTTTTGCATAACTTATGGGCCGTGAAAATACAGTGTCCTCAAAGCAAGCTCTGGTCCAGTAGAGTGTCTCCACATGGATGCTGAGCCAGGCTGCAGCTTGATCTTGTTACCCTGGGCTGCTGCTCATCCTTGCCAGCCTCCAGCTCCCTCCTCTGAGAAATACACTTAGTAACCAGAGACCTTCCCGAGGCTGGAGTCAGTATCTGTGAGCTGCTCAGAAACCTTCCTGGCCTGTCGTGAGCTTATGCAGTATTCACAGTAATCAGTTGGTGAATGAAACCACGTGATCTTCCTCTGCTTCCACCTATGTTCTTTCCAGAGTGGATGCGGGGAAGGTGGATTGCAACCTGATACTAAACCCGCTTGGCTCCGGGTCTCCTTACTCAGACGTCTGCTGAGTTTCTGAACCCTCTCCCCCAAAATTCAAAGAAATGCACACAGGTAGCCTGGGTGAAGGGATGACATCCGGCAGGGACGGGGTCTGCAGAACCTCCTTGATAAGGTAGGCGTTAGTACATGATATGGAAAATTCAGGAGGGATCTTGTAGCAAAATGGCAAGGTCATGTTCACTAAGTGAGTTCTCCGGAGGGTTACTCATGTGTGTGTCTGAAATAAATAGGAATGAGGAGGTTGCATTCAGTAGACATGTGGCAATAAGTGGTTTTGTCAAATGTAGGGTTTTCTCTCTGCATAGGTTTTAAATATGGAACCAAAATGTGTCTCGTGTTAAGTTTCGTACACCAAGCAGAGGTGGTGGTGTCGTGATTCTGTGTTTGTGGAGGTCGCGATGCTGTTCTTCCGTGTTTCCCTGCATCACGGTCTGCGTGGTACATTTCAGATGTGAAGGCTTGTTCCTCAACATCTTTCCTGTGATCAGATGCCAGCCATCAGCCACCTGAGGTCTCACGGCATCACCAAGTCTTAGTTTGTGTGTCCACAGTCTCTCTGTTCCACCTGCAGTGTGTATTTCTTCCTTGTACACAGGAGTTCATTTGTAAAACAAGGCAGGCCGAGATTGTTGGCACTGCACAGAGGTCTCAGTGCCCTGTTAATGATTCTAGTCCCCGTTTCAGAAGTTCGCCCAGCAACCAGTCATCCTCCAGCGACCCCGGACCCGGTGGGAGCGGGCCCTGGAGACCGCAAGTGGGCTATGACGGGTATGCTCCTCCCCACCCTCTGCTGGGCCTGGGAGGGCCTGGGCGGCACTGTTCCAGGGACTGCGTCTGCCTTGCGAAGCCGCTGGGGGAGGCAAAGATGCCAGATGAGCTTCTGACGAGTCTGTCCAGCCCAGAAAGCTCCTTGTTTCTGTCTAGGTAGCTAGCTCTCATTTGTCTGTATTCTGAGCTGGTCTGCTTTTGCTTTTTAATAAGGAAAGTCTTTGTGAACATGTGAAAATTAAGGACTTGGGGCCTCTGTGGGCAGTGCCCTTGGAGGTGTCCCCTCACTTCATTGACCAGAGAAGGCAGGGTTAGCCTTTGATTCCTCCCAGTAGAGAAGAGCAGGAGGCTGCTCAGGACCCCGCAGTGTGAGTCCACCTGGCATCTAGGTGCCAGCAGGTCAAGTGGAGCCCGAGGACACCTGGGGACATGGAGACGCTGAATTGGCTGATGAAGGAACTCGGGAAGCGGTCACACACTTGGGGGAAGAAAAGGAGGAGGGAGACCCTGTGCTACCAGGAGATGGGCTGCCCTGATGGCAGGGTCCCTGTTGCTCTGCGCTGAGCTCGCTCTGCTTGGGAAGAAGCTGGGTGCAGGGATTGGAGGGGAGGATGGCCAGGGAAGACGGGGAGGGTTTCCGTTACCGGAGGGCAGTGTCTCTCCCTGGTGCCCCCTTTGCTTCCGATTTGGGCTCAGATATTTTCAGTCAGAGTTCCATGTCTCCTTCCTTAAATAATAGATGGAGCTCTTAAAAGTTGTACAGAAAGACATTTAAAATCCTCAGTGCAGTTGCATTTTAAAAGTAGAGGGGAGTTTTTTTGTATCAGTGGAAAAACCATTCCTGACTTTCTACAAACCCAACTCTATTTGGGTTCTGTAAATGAAGATTACTTTGTAATAAAGTTTTCTGAGATTTATTTCTTTTGTAAGATTATATTGCCATATTTTGGGTTTTCATAAAATAAAGGCCACCTAGAAGTAGTCTAGAGTCAATCAATCTTATTTTCTTTTTCTTAAAACATATAATGTAAGGAAGTATCAGCTGCATGTATTCCGGGCACAAGGAAAACGAAAGCAGTGAGTTCTTCCTTAGCTTGTCGGGACAAGTGTCCTGACCCCAGGAAGGCCTTTACCCCGCTGGCCCGTCTTCGTCTGCAAATGACCATCACCCACGCGCCTCCCTGGAGCCCGCGGGGGAACGAGAGCCCTCAGACAGGGCTGGGCGTCCCATCAGGGCTCTCCCTGGGGGCGCCTCGCAGGGGTCAACACCCGGGATGGTCGGGGGATGGCGGGATGGCCCGGCTCAGCGCTGCGTTCTTCCCAGGTGCCAGTCCCCGCTGCTGCTGGAGCACCAGGGCCCAGGCCCTTTGGAGTGTGAAGGAGCCAGGGAAAGGGAGGACGCCATGGACGGAAGCAGACACCCAGGTATGAGGGACTCCTGGTGAGCCAGCTCCCTCCACGCCCCTCCCTCCCTGCCCCCACCTCTGTGTCACTCAGCACAGGCTCCCTGCAGCCTGTCAGCTGGCCCTGATGTCGGGGCGTGGCCCTGGCTGGTGTGCCTGGGGAAATGGACCCTTAGTTTTATGGTGGGTGTTCTGCCCACCCCAAGGCGTATCCATTGGTAAGATCAGAAAGTCCTAGAACCACGGTCCTGTTTATTTTACTAAACCATTTGTCGGGCCCATGTGTTTCTCTGCTCTTTTGTTAATGTTAGAAATTAGGTGCTCAGCTCTCCTCTCTTTATGTGACAGAAACCAAATGGCATGGTCCACCCTCCAAAGTCCTGAGTTCCTACAAAGAGAGAGGCCTGCAGAAGGAAGGAGGCTGCAGAGACTCCCCCAACAAGCTCTCCCACGTAAGTCCTTTCTTTGTGATCGGAGCCCGGAGCCATTGCGATGCCCCTCGGCACACGGTGCCCCTCGGCTTTGTAGCCGTGGGTTCTCATGGCCTGTCCTTGACCTCAAAGGTCTGAGGGCTGAGGTGAAAACACACAACGTCCAGGTTGTTTTCTGTCCTTGATTCATGAAAAAACCCCAAGAAAGGTCACAGTCAGTTACTGGCAAGGCCACGGGGGCATCCTCAGCCTTTTGACCCCGATGTAAAGCATTGAAAGTCATTAAGCCGTGTTCCCGCTTGTGTCTGGTGAGCATTTATGCACTGGGCACAGGACAGACGTGGGACCTGCAGCGGTGTGTGTGGTCGGACATTGCCGCGCTGGTCGGCCGCCGCCAGCTGCCGTGGGCCGTGGGAACAGCTGTTCCGCTGCTCTTGGCCGTGGCCCGAGGCGGAGCCTCAGTGAAACCAGTGTCAGTTAAACGTGAAAACATGACTTGTTGCTTGTTGCCAAGTAAGGCCAGCATTTTAAAGTAGCTTATTTTTTAAATTTACAAGTGAAGAAATTCTCTGAGCTCCTGGGTTTGGTTGTCTTTCCTCTTCCTTCCCGTGACATTGGCCCGCTTTGCTGCTGAGTGTTGGCGCACATGCATGACAGGCCTCCCTCGGCTGTGCTGGGCTTGTCTGCCGTGCCATCCACCTTGACAGATCTCTGAGGTTGACGCAGAGGGAGGCGGGGAGGGAGCAGGCTTGGGAATGTCTGTCCTGTGAGTGGTGAGAGGCGGGGATTTGCCGAAGGCCTTGGTGGTTGAAATGACGGAAGGAAGGGCTTGGTCCTGACTTGATCCCACCACCCTTTGCCGATCCAGGTCCTGTTCCTGCCCAGGCTGTGCAGAGGGCCGGTTCGAGATGCAGTGTGTTGGGGACACTTACTCTGTTCTCCTTGTCTTTTGTCTCCCAGAGACCCCAAAGTACTCCTCTTTCCTCTGAGAGCACTTCCTCGGAGCCCAGGGCCTCGGAGCATGACCCTGCTCCCATGTGCCCGTGGCTGTGGCATCTTCCAGGAGGACGGTCTCAGTGCCTCCCCTGTCGTCAGTGACCCTGCCTCACAGCACAGGCGGCTCGGTGACGGCAGAGGTGTCCTGTGGTTCACGCCCGGCTCTTGCACCTAAACCCAGGGCCAGCGCTGTAACTTGTCACCGGAGCCTTTCCTTGATCGAAGCTGCTCTCCCTTTGTTGATCTCCCGTGTGCTGTCGCGGTGTGTGCAGCCCACAGGGATAATTTTCTGGTCAGTGGCACCGTGGCAGTGCTTCCGTGTTCCATGCACAAATAGTGAACAAAGCTTTGAAAAGAGTCCCACTTAATACAAGATGGATTGGAGGAATTAGGAATTAGGAATTGGGGACCAGGATTTTTTAAGTACATTCTAGTTGGCTCACTTGGAGTGTGAGTGGGCAGGGTTGCGGAGCTCGTCTGTCTGTAGCTGCATGAGTCTGGGTGCGAGTAATCGTCTTCATAAAGAGTGCAGCCACACCTCGGACTGTGCGGCTCGGGTCCTGTCACCTTATGCAGCGGTGTGGCAGTGCGCGAGGCACGCGGATCTGCAGTTCCAGCACCTGTAAGAGTTGTGTTTACACTTCACGGCAGCCTGCTAAGTGTGCGATAGCATTATGTCTAAAAGCAGTGTTCACCCCTTCATGAAAACGTCTTTCTTGTTAAAAAATGCTGACCAGTGTCTGAGCCTGTTGGAAGGCAGCGCGGATAGACGAGTGGGCTCAGGTTGCACAGACCCCAGCTTTGCAGGGGTGCAGTGTCTGAAGAGCGCGGTGACGCGAGTGTCCAGTGTGTGACTGACAGACGCCTCCCCTCTCCCCTCCTCCAGATCGGGGATAAGAGCTGCTCCAGCCACTCCAGCAGCAACACGCTGTCCAGCAACACCTCCAGCAACAGCGACGACAAGCACTTTGGGTCCGGGGACCTGATGGACCCGGAGCTGCTGGGGCTGACCTACCTGAAGGGGGCATCCACCGACAGCGGCATCGACACGACCCCGTGCATGCCCCCCACGGGCCTGGGCCCCGTGCACCTGGTGGGCAGCAGGTCCATGATCCACAGTCGGGCCGAGCCCTGGGCCGACTCTGGCGACATCTCGGGGCCTGACGACGAGCAGGCGAAGGTGTACGCGGTGCACAGCTATGCGCCTGCTTCTGCCAGTGGCGCTGCTGACGGCAGCATGGGCGACCTCAGCGAGATCTCCTCTCATTCCAGGTGGGTGCCTGCTGCACTGCCGCCCAGCACCTGCGGCGGCCCCTGGTCTGGGCACCGGCACCTGCGGGTTGGGGGGGCCTGCAATAGGAGCCTGTGCAGGTGAGAGACCTTGTCACCTGCTCGCCCAGCTCTGACTTCAGAGGAAGTGTGTGTTTCTGGTCGCAAGGTTTACACCGTGATGGGCCACTTGTTTGTGCTTTTATCTCCCTTCCTCTGAGTTGGAGAGAAGAGGAGACCGAGATACTGAGAGCTGTCGTCGGGTCACTTCTCTCTCCCAGTTCAGTCTGTGGCCCTGCATTCTGAGAGCGGGCCAGCTCAGCAGCGCCCGGTTCCAGGGAACAGTCCTTAGGGAGAAGGCAGTGGGCTGTGTCTGTGCAGCCCCTGCAGGTCTGTGCCGGCCGGTCCTGCTCCTGGGCGCACGGGAGGGAGGCCTGCGGTCTGTGCCGGCCGGTTCTGCTCCGGGCTCACGGGAGGGAGGCCTGCGGTCTGTGCCGGCCGGTTCTGCTCCGGGCTCACGGGAGGGAGGCCTGCGGTCTGTGCCGGCCGGTTCTGCTCCGGGCTCACGGGAGGGAGGCCTACGGTCTGTGCCGGCCAGTCCTGCTCCTGGGCGCACGGGAGGGAGGCCTGCGGTCTGTGCCGGCTGGTTCTGCTCCGGGCTCACGGGAGGGAGGCCTGCGGTCTGTGCCGGCCGGTTCTGCTCCTGGGCTCACGGGAGGGAGGCCTGCGGTCTGTGCCGGCCGGTCCTGCTCCTGGGCTCACGGGAGGGAGGCCTGCGGTCTGTGCCGGCCGGTCCTGCTCCTGGGCTCACGGGAGGGAGGCCTGCGGTCTGTGCCGGCCGGTCCTGCTCCTGGGCGCACGGGAGGGAGGCCTGCGGTCTGTGCCGGCCGGTCCTGCTCCGGGCTCACGGGGGGGAGGCCTGCGGTCTGTGCCGGCCGGTCCTGCTCCTGGGCGCACGGGAGGGAGGCCTGCGGTCTGTGCCGGCCGGTTCTGCTCCTGGGCTCACGGGAGGGAGGCCTGCGGTCTGTGCCGGCCGGTCCTGCTCCGGGCTCACGGGAGGGAGGCCTGCGGTCTGTGCCGGCCGGTTCTGCTCCGGGCTCACGGGAGGGAGGCCTGCGGTCTGTGCCGGCCGGTCCTGCTCCTGGGCGCACGGGAGGGAGGCCTGCGGTCTGTGCCCGGCGCACGAGTGACGTCCGCAGTTCGGCCTTCAGAAACCGAAGACCAGCTGGGTGCTGTTCTAACTGTGGCTGTTCGATATGCAGCTGTGAGTAGTTTTGAACTATTTGACATGTCTGCACAGTGACTGTAAAACTCATGGTGTGTGATTCTTGCCTTCGAGACGAGGCGAAGAAGTTCATGTTCAGGTTTGGCTGTGGCCAGAGTACTGCCCACCAGCTGCCACTGCCATGGTCCTCTCGCTTGTGGGCTTCCTAACTCAGCTCTGGGCTCCTTTCCCCCAGAACCCCGAGTGCTGGGGCAGTCTGCTGAGCCCCCTGCAGGTGCTCGGGCCATGGGGGCACGATTCTGCGACGGTGGTGCCAGAGAGCTGGCAGTGACAGGCCGTGCTCCTCGGCGTCCTGTCGCGCGGTGTGGACTGTCACGTGTGTCATGCAAGGGCACTTATGTTACAAGTTAAAGAAAGCTCCACCCTAACTGGTTCACTCAACCAAGGTGCTATTTTGGTTCATGTAACTGAAAGTCCAGAACTGTCAAGGTTTTACTTGACCCAGCAGCTCAGATAATGTCACCCCAAACCGGGTCCCTCCATCCGTAGGTCCACATGACCCCCCTGAAATCTGGGCCATCCCCTCAGTTGGAAATGGCTTTGTCAGCTGCTTGGCCTCCCGTGTTCATACTCCTCTGTCGTGGGAAGGAAAGGGTTAGGGGGTACCGTTTGTAAGGCAGACAGGGCCTCCGCTCAGGCCTGAGGGTCAGTCCCACCAAACCCAGGAGACAGGCGGGTGCTGCTCCACCAGGAGAAGGGGGAGCAGATGCCTGAGAGGGGAGGAAGCAGGGAGCCCAAGATACCGAGATTGTTTTCAAATGACATCACTGCTGTGACTTGAAACATGTTTAGTAATAAGTAACTCAAATAATACATGTGTTGTTACTGACTCCGGTTACCTGGGTGGTTTCTAGGGCACTGGCTGTACCATAAAAACCGTCTGGGATTGTCTGCCCCCGATGCTTCTCTCAGAGTTTAGCTTGCAAAGCTGCTGATGTCGTGTGCCTGTGGGCAGATGGGGTCTGGGGTTACCACCGTGAAAAGTTTCGGGGAACTGCTCTTAGAGCAGTTTGTAAATAGAGGAAGGAATACTTACGGGGATTTGAAATAGATTTCCTTGAATGCCTCAACCATTCATGAACTCGAGTTTAGACTGTTAGAAAGGTTATAAAAGTGCGAGATAGAAGTTCTGATAGATTTCACCTTTTCAGCGCTTTACATTGAGTGTGCGCGCAGCTGCCTTGGAGAGGTCGGCAGGCGGCCCTCCACCTGCCGCTTGTTCTTGCGACTCGTAGTCAATGGCGACTTTGAGGCCCCATTTCAACTGCGTTGTAGGCTTTTGTGTGAAATCTAGTCATTCAATGGAATATTTTGAGCACTGCCTTCTTCCTGTCCCCCACCTGTACAAGAGGTCTGGAGAGATGCCCTGGCCGGTTTGGCTCAGCGGTTAGAGCGTCGGCCTGCGGTCTGGAGAGACCCGGGTTCGGTTCCCGCTAAGGGCAAGTACTTCGGTTGCAGTTTGTCCCCGGCCCTGGTTGGTCGTGCGGGTGGCAGCCACTCGATGTGTCCCTTCACGTCGATGTTTCTCTCTCTCTCTCTCTTCCTCTCTCTCCCTCCCGCTCTATCTGAACAAAAAATGGAAAAATGTCCTCGGGTGAGGATTAAAAAAAAAAAAAAGAGGGCTAGAGAATTTTAAATGTTTGAATGTTCGCAAGTATTAAATATATTAATATTTTATATCTAAAATGTGGGTGTTGAGGTAAAGGGAACTTTGCTCATTAGACTACAAGGAACCAGCCTATCAACGTTGAACGGAGATTCTGCAAATTCTGAACACGAAGGCCAGACCAGGACACATGAGTCCGTGATGGGGACTGTCACCTGCCCCATCCCTTCCTCTGACGTCTCAGTTCAGGCTGGCAGGTGGTCCGCGTGGAGCCAGGCCCACTGCTCAAGGTCTGGGATGTGCCTGGAGTGGCCCCAAGCAGCGGGAGAGCGGAGTGAACGGTCCCGGTTGGAGATCAGGTGGCCGAGGTCGCCGCAGCCCCAAGCACCTGTATCCCATCCTGTGTTTCAGTCTCTCTCAGCACTCAGCCCCCCTGAAATTGTGTGCGTACAGTGCCCTGGCGCCTGGCGGGCATGGAGTCCTTGTAGGAAGAAGGAAGACACTGTGGGAAGACTGTCTGCAGTCGGTGCTGGGGCTGCCGCGCGGTGCGGGACAGCCTGCAGGGGCAGGGGGAGCACACGCGCACGCCCCGCCACCCCCATGCGCAGGGCAGGGCCCAGAGCAGCGCCCGGGCCTTCTCGTCCTCTGCTCCTGCCTCTCCGCCCAGCCTGCCCCACATGCATGCTCACTGCCACAGCCGTCCGGCAGGAAGCAGGTGTGACGGTCTGTGGTGTGATCCCAGGACTGTGGTGAGGGGGGCGGAGGACTTACAACCCTTGTAACAGGCCACAGCGGGGTGAGGGAGGATGGGGCGGCCAGGAACCGTCCGCTAGCAGGACAAGTGTATGTCCAGCCTACTTTCTCTTGCTGTTCAGCGCTTTCAATTCAGAAAATCCACATTTCTGTGGCTGTGAGGGCAGGGCGCGTAAGTAAGAGCTCAGGATACAAAGCAGTAGGCATGTTAGTCTAACCGCGGCTTCGCAGTGTGAAAAGGGGAAAAGGAAAGAAAGTCACGTTCTGGGTTCTTCTGCAGTGGCTTGTGTGATTATCTGTTCCCCATTATTCGTGTCATCAGACCCTTCTCTGACCAACGATCGGACTAGGCTGAGACTCTAAAATGAGGACTTTCATCCAGAAGGAAGGGATTCGTGAAAAGCTTGTTGCCAATATCTAGAACGTTTACCAGCTTCAGAGAAAACTCACAGGATGTCACTGCTGCCAAACACAGATTTCTGCCATATTGCTCCTCAAAGGGAGTCAGTACATCTGTTCTCAGAGTTTAACTTTAAAACATGTTACTATTGAGGTAAAGATTTTCAACTAAGTCTGAATTAGAGAAGTATCTTTTATCAAACAAATGCCGCACATGCATTATTCACAACACGTTCTCAGAAAGTGACTGCAGGGCGTAGCTTATGCCCTTGTTCACTGTCCCAGACTGTGGGCTCCCCAGACTCAGCCATGAAATGTCTCAGGGACAATTGAAGCCTTTGAAACGCCTGTGCCCATGGGGGCCAAAGGCAGCGCCCAGCCCTTCGTTGGCGCGAGCGGGGACCGAAGCATCAGCATCACGGGACGCCTGAGAAGTTCGGACGCGGCCGTGTATGAGGTAGCAGCATTGTGCTGATGCCCGAGTTCCTGAGTGTGCGTCGCCCGGGCCGTGTGGGACACTGTCCTTGTTCGTAGGACACGTGTGGAAATGCAGGAGGAGGATGTCACAGGTCCGCAGCGAATGCTCACATGGCTCAGAGAGACACATACGTGGGCACGGGAATATGCAGGTGAGCAAGAGAGTAACATGTCGCGAGTCTAGAGGAATGGAACATGGATGCTCTTCTACTGTTTTGATGCCTTTTCGGTGGAGCTGAAGTTGCTGAAATAGGAAGCGTGGGGACGAACGCGCGTCCTCAGAGCTGGGTGTGAAGTGTTCATGCTGCTGCCCGCTGGCGTGCACCCAGCACACGGTCCGCGCTCCCCTCGCCTCCGCCTTGGGCTGCCTTGGACGTGGGAAGGCAGGGAAACGCCTTCGCCCCCAGCCCACAGCCCACAGCTTGGAGCCCACACAGGGAACCCGAGGCCCACGGGAGCCCGACCTGCCCAGCACCTGCATGGCTTCCGCGGAGCCCACAAGCTGTCATCTGTGTGTTCGTTTTGTTTTAATTTCTCAGAGACCATAGTGTCTCCAACATGTAAAGACCCAAAACGGTTAGTTTATTTTGTTTTCTTATTCCATTTTGAACCTCTTTAAATAGTCCATTTTAATATCATTTTTAATTTTAAACTGTTTTTTTACTTCCTCCATTGATTGATACTTGCTCTGCACAGGTGTTTGAGTAACAGTGTGTGCTAATCAGAGGTTTCAGAATACAGTGTACTTCGTCATACCAGGGAGCTTGCCTTGTGAGGGACCCCGTGGAAACCTCGTTTTATTAGTGTGGGCTCCTACATGTGAATAATTCTTTCATGAATCACTTTTTAAAAATCAACTACATTTATATAATGCTTGTTCTGTGCTAGGCGCTGTTCTAATGCTTCACTAACATTAACTCAGATACTCTTCGAAGCCCCCTGTTGCATTACATACTGTTGCACCCATGTTGCCAATGAGGAAACTGAGCTTGAGGGACTTGCCCAGGTCTCCCGCTGCTGAGCGATGCTGGCGAGGCCAGATCCAGGAAGTCGCCTTGGGGTTTCAGGAGACCCCTGTGTCCTTCACCCCTCCCCCAGGCGGCCACTGACCTGGCTTTAGGGTGCCATCCCCTCGCTGTTGTTTTTTCATTTTTACTACTGATACATACATCCTGAGCAACATATGATCAGCTTTGCCTGTTTATGAACTTTACTAAATAATGGAATCATGCCTGACGCATTCTTGGTGGCTTGCCCCTTTCTCTACATTGTGTTTGTGAGTCACCTACGTGGTCGTCTTCAGCCTCACTTCATTCGTTCATGGGGCATGGCATTCATTCACTCGTGTTCACTAACAACTTCAACCACTGCTGGCGACTCCGGTTGCCGCCACTGAGGAGCCGCTCAGCTCCATGTTCCTACTGCCGTCGCTCCCTGTTCCCAGGTGCGTGTGTGCAGGGGTGTGTGTAGGGTGGACACAGCAGGATTGCTGGGGCAGATGCTGTGTAGCTGTACACCTTACGTGTGGTAATGCCCAGACTGCCTTCCAGCTGTTCACACGCTCCTCTCCCGCCAGCACTGGATAGTACCACTGCTCCGAGTCTTGGCTGACACTGGGCGTTCTCTGTCAGGCACTCCCATTCTCTCCAGTCTGGTGAATGTGATGTGATGCCGTCAGCTTGCACTGCCATCTCCCTGGCAACAGCTCGAGGTCGAGCACCTTCTCTTGTGCCTATTTACCGTTTGAGTTTCCTTGCTTTTGAAGCATCTATGTAAGTGTGGTACCGTGTTTCTGCTGGATGTCCCTGCCACGTGCTGAGCATCCTCTGAGCACACAGCTCACTCTTGAGCATCCTCAGCCCGTGGGGAAGGAGGCGCTCTGACGCGGCGCACGTGGAGAGGCCGCATCTCCACCTCCCGCTGCCTGTCTTTGCTTGGAGAGGACAGCGGATCATGTGGCTGAGTTTGGTGCTGTGCTGCACCACTGAGCTCAGATTGTATTGCAGCTCTTGTCTCTTTTTGTCCTCAGTGGCTCACACCATTCAGGAAGCCCGTCGGCTCACTGTTCCAAAAGTACTGGGTCTCTGGACACATCCAAAGTCTACATCGTGTCTCACAGCAGCGGCCCGCCAGTCCCTGGGTCCATGTCCAAGCCCTACCACCGACAAGGGGCAGTGAGCAAATACGTCATTGGCTGGAAGAAGTCGGAAGGCAGCCCCCCGCCTGAGGAGCCGGAAGTGACTGAGTGTCAGGGGTAAGCGGCGGGCGGGGCTTCTGCAGACAGCCTTGTACTAAGCAATTGTATTTTCCTCCAACAGAATGTATTTTCTGAAAACAAATCATCTAGAAACATCTTTATAAAAATCTTTTAATGTTGCCATTTACATTTATCTTTAAAGTCTTCTCTTTCCTTGATTTTTGCATAAAAAGTGAAAAGAAATCCCTGTTCGTACTTACATTAAAAAGCCGCCTGCAGCAGAGAAGTCACGGTGAGGTGCCCCTGGCAGGTCAGCTGTCTGAAAAGCAAGTTCAAGGACAGTGTGAATTCCCAGAGGCTGTTCCTGGGGTATCGGAAGAGAAGCAGTAACCCCGCTTCCGCAGTTCGGTGGCTTCCCTTCAGTGCTTAGGTTTGGGGGGCAGTCGGAGGGTGTTTGCTATCTGTTTGAAAAGAGAAAAGACCCAGAATACGGGTAACTTATTGATTCCACGTGTGAAACTATGTCGACACCTCTTTGAGGAGAATCATCGGCAATCACATTTCAAGGTTGCAGAGCAAGGTCAGTCCTGTCTAGCTGCCGGTTTGCTTATTTTTTGCAGGACGCGTTACAAACAGAACTCGCGAGCACTAGCTCGTGAGGCCCTGTGCATGGCTGCGCCTGCGGGTCCTGGGCGTAGCTGCGGTAGGGGTGCCCGGGCCGCCACGCCTGTCAGAAAGCTTCTTACACTTTTTTTTTTTTTTTTTTGCATTTATCTTCAGATAGAGTTGGGGGGAAGAAAGAGAGAGAGAAACATCGACATGAGAGAGACACATCGACTGGTTGCCACCCACACAACCCCAACTGGGGCCAGGGACAAACCAACTGAGGTACGTGCCCTTAGTGGGAACCGAACCCGGGACTCTCTGGTCCACGGGCCAACGCTGTAACCGCTGAGCCAAACTGGCTAGGGCAAGCTTTTTACACTTCAAGCTCGTCGATGAACTAGCACCACCGTCTTCACTGATGATGACCTACTACTTACCTATGGCTGGCGTCCATGTTGTCTTCTGAACTAAACTCATTTTAGTGCTGAAATTGAACATGGGATCTTTTTTGGTAAAAAATAAAGCAGCTATCATGTCAGTTATTGCAAATGAGTTATTTAGAAAGTAATTTTCTAGCAAGAATTATACTTTTTTAACATAAGTGCGAGTGTTCTAATGGAAACGTTGGTATTTCTGTCTGATAGTCTTCTGCGTGCTTCCTAGAAACTCATCACAAGCCTTTGAAGTCCTGTGAAGTATCTGTAGAAGTGTTTTGCACATTGGTGTCAGCTCTGTGTTTTGGCAGGGAGCTTTCTCTCGGAGAGTCAGGAGAGGGGAAAGAAGCCTATTGGGACATTTGCACTTGAGCCTCCCTGGTGTCTGCATTTTAACACAGTGGTTTGCTGATACTGACTTTGAGTAAGAGAGACTCATCAGGAATACTGAGAAAGGGGTTTGCATCTCGTGGGGGAGAATACTTATTTCCCAGAATCACGTGAGGTTAGTGTTGGGATTTGAACCCAGGGCTCAGCCTAGCAGGTGTAGCCGGCCGCCCAGGCCTTGCCCAGCCGAGGAAAGAGCTTCTAAAACAAGAACACAGAAGGTGACTATATAACTACTGCCATTATACAGGACTGCACCAACTCTGAAAGTTTGTCAAAGCAGTGTTCTACCAAATCACTGGAAATACGCTTAGAAAAAGATCAGCCAAGTAGAGTGTGTGTGTACCACTGTGAATTAGAAAATGTGAGTGTCTCATTGAACACAAAGTGTAAGTCCATTGTGTCCTCCAGAAGTTCCTGGAGCTCTGAAAGTGCTGGTTATTTTTAATTCATGTTGCAGAGCCCTTATCGATTGTCTTTTTTAACACTACAACCTTATATTTTAAAGTGCAGCCAACAAGCTGCACATTGACTTACGAGCCCTGAGTGTATCTTGGGTATGTTGCAGGGCTGGTCTTTCTCCGCTGTGGTTCCCACCGGCTGAAAGTCTTCAGCTCACTGTTGCAAACATAGTGGGTCTCTAGACACGTCCCTCCTTGCTGGTCAACACTATGCTGTTTGCCCGTGTGAAAAATTACTGGGCATTAGCCATATGGAGCTAATTAAGTCCCAGGCCTGTTTTCAGGTCTGAGGTAGGAGAAAAAGCGTAGGAATCACTAATTAGAAGGTAACGTCAGCAGTTCACAGGTGCGTTGTTATATATGTTACATGGGTGTCATTATGAGAGAACAATGCCAGGGTTTAATTGCATATCTCCCAGTTCTCTTCCTGAAACCTCCTCCTTCAATTTTCTCTATTTAAGTGGTTTCTTACCAAATTGGTCACCATGTCAGAAACTTAGGTTCTGTTCGAGAGTCCTACCTGGCATTTCACGTTGCCAGGGTGACAGCTTAGCACAGCGTGTAATCCTTCCTGATTTGTCCTGTGCCTACTTCCGAGCCCCCCCCCTCCACCCGACTTCCTCCTCCAGTGGCTCAGCCTTTGCTGGCCCAGACAAGCAGTTCCGTCACAGGCCTCTGTGCCTCCATCCGTGCAGTTCCCTCTGCCTCAGTGCCGTTCCCGAATTCCTGAGCCAAGTTTCTGACCCAGCACCCCCTTGAGCTGGGCGTTCTCAGCACGTGTCACAGCACTGTGACTCCCACTCACTGTGCACTCGTGGCCCTACACACGTACACGTGTGTGCATGTAAACACACACACACCTCGGACCGGGGTCCTCGGGAGAGTATCGTGGTCTTTGTGCTAGTGACTTCCACAGGCAGACCCTGGGCATTTACCGACACATTATCGGGCAGTTGTAGTAAAATTACTCATTTAGCAGGAAAGGCTATTGATTTTTATTCAAACACATAGGAAAACTAGAATAGCACATTTTACTACGAGTTACAGTTGACCCTTGAACAACATGGGTTTGAACTGCTTAGGTCCACCTATACCTGGACTTTTTTCAATACTGTAAATGTATTTTCTCTTCCTCGTGGTTTTCTTATTAACATTTTCTTTTCTATAGCTTACTCTATCGTAAGAAAACAATATATAATATATACAATATACAAATATATGTTGCTCAACGTCTAAGTCAGCAGTGGGCTGTAAATTGGGATGAGAGAGTCCAACGTTATACATGGATTTTCGACTGCATGGGGGGTCGGTGCCCCTGACCCCTGCGCTGTGCAAGGGTCACCTGTGTTAGATTTTTATTCGGGCAGTTACCAATGAGACCTGGGTCTTCGCTACGTCCTTCCCAAAGCACAGGGGCCTGGCGCTCTGGAGCACCTCCCAGCGCTGTCTCAGGGCCCGAGCTGGCACTGCTGGGACGCCCTCCTCAGGGCCTGCCCCTGCAGCAGAGCCGCCGCCGTGGGCTCGTCGGGTGGCCCCTTCCAATGCCGTGCCGTCCCACCAGCCAGCCGAGTCTTCAGTCATCTTTTAAACATTTTAACAGCTGCTTTTCAAGCCATTGTTTGCTCACGTTGTCAGCCTAGCTGGTGTCAAGGTCTGGACACCCAAGCCACCTCGGGGAAGAAAGCAAAAGCCATACAGATTTCCAGATAAATTGTTCATTTTGAGCATGTCTGTGTGAATTTCTTATTCCAGTAATTTCCCAGTGAGCTGTGACACTGTGACAAGGTAGCCTTGCTGTGGAACTAGAGTGATCACAGTGACAGCAACGTCATGCCGGCCTCCCCCGGTCGCCGGCTGCCCGGGCCTGGGACTCCTGGAGCCGGTGTCTCAGGCTGTGGCTGACGTTTGCCGCTCCGACCCTGCACATTCATGCTGTCTGCAGAAGTGTTGGCTTGTTCAGACTGCATTTTCAGAGTCAACCTTTTAAAACTGTCTCCCAGTTTTCTCTCTGGAAAAAAGCTGAAAACAGTAATTCAGCTAGACAGTCTTTTGTTGTCCATAAATACATTTTTATATACTGATAATTAAGGCAGACAGCTGCTTTATTTATTCAAACAGCTTTGTGAAATTGCTGATAATAAAACATGCTTGGCACACGCCTGAATTGATTACTCCTAAACTCCAGGCTCCCTTGGGGCCTCTGCATTCCCTGAGATTTGGGGTGTGGCTGGCTGGCTCAGGTTCCTGGGAAGCACAGGGGTGTCCTCAAAGGAGCATGAAAATCTCTGATGAATTATTAAAACTGTTTTCTGACACCGATTAGGGAAGGAGAAGCGCAGCCTTATTTTAAAAGCTGGCCGTGTTTTTTCTCACTTGGAGCTATGGGGATCCGATTTGTTTCTGGATTATTCAGAAACCTACCTTTGCAGCCGAGCTCATTTCACAGACGGGGACGCAGAGTGAATGCAGCGAACGTGGGTGGACTTAACAGTTAAGAGTCATGCCTCACACGCGTGTTGTTGTTGAGTCTGGTTATGGGACGGTGATTCTTGCCACTGCAGGCACTTTATAGATGGGCTGGCCACTCCTTCTTACCTCCCTTCTGCTTTTCCGACAGGCTGTACGGAGAGATGGAGCTCATGTCCACAGCAGCTCAGCATCAGACAGTGGTGGGAGATGCTGTCTCAGACACTCCACATGTGCTGTCGAAAGAAGACTTTGTGAAATTGATGCTTCCTGACAGCCCCTTAGCAGAGGAGGGGAGAAGAAAGGTTAGCAGCTTTTGTGGAGCTTAGAGGTTTCTAGAAACACTAAAGGAAACTGAATTGGAGACTTGAGGGTTCCCAGAGTACCTCTGCATGTGTTGTCTCTCGCGATCCTACCAACAGTTCTGGGTATAGCGGGGCATTTCCTGTGCTCGCTCTCAGTGAGCAGAGCGAGCCTGGGAGGCTGGGAAGTGCAGCTGTTGCATGGACAGAGCTGGCGTCCGAGGGGCCTGGCCCCACGTCTCGGCTCCGCCACCATCAGCTGCGTGACTGGACCAGAGACGTGACCTCTTGGCCCAGTGTCCTCCTCCGTACAAAGCACATAATAATCAGTGTACTACAGAGTTGTAGGGAAGATAAGACATGACATGGATAGAGTCTTGCATGGTTCCAGACTTAACAGCTGATCAAAAACAGTCGCTGTTAAAATTCATACCACCTGACTTTTGCTCCAAGAGCCTTACCCTCTGATCCAAGCAATTAAAAAAATTTTTTTTCTTTATTGATCTTAGAGAGGAAAAGAGAGAGAGAGATAGAAACATCGATGAGAGAGAACATCGATTGGTCGCCTCCTGCATGCCCCCCACTAGGGATCGGGCCCACAACCTGGACATGTGCCCCGACCAGGAATCAAACAGGCGACCTCTTGGTGCAGGGTTGACGCTCAGCCACTGAGCCGCCCCAGCCGGGCTGATCCAGGATATCCTTAGAACCCTGTACTGAAGTGGGCAGGAGTCAGCCGCATGGCTGCCGAGCATCACATAGGATGGAGCCTGGGCTGGATGTGCTGGGTAGAGCCGCAGCGGTCACAGGAGGCTCATGGCCGCCCGCCGTAGAAGCCAGCCTGGAGTGTGGGCGCACCTTCCTGCAGAGTGCAGCAGTCCCTGGCTGACGCAAGTGTTTCATTAGTATTAGTCTTTCAAACCCTGTTAAATATAGAACGTATTGAAAGGGATGTACAGGTAATTTAGCTCAGTCTCCTTTTTTTGCAAGTAACTGAGTCCCTAAATGAAATGTGAGGTTCACATAAATATTGGTGGGGTCCAGACCTTCTCCCTTCTAATCCGGTGGTCTCTCTTGTGCAAATGAAAAAAAAGAACAAGAAACAGAATCCAGCAATGCCATATTGACTGGGTTCGGGCGAGCACCAAGTCCTGGGCTTCTGCCTTCCCCATAATAAAATAATGCTGCAATTAACCTAATTGAGTTTTAGACTAACACTCTAATTAGACACTGCCTCAAAGGCGCTTTAATCTGCTTGCCTGTAATCTTCTTGTGAAGCACCTGCTGGTCCTGGGAAGGAGGGTCCCAGAGGAACTCGGTCCAGTGAACCTTTTCTTTTTAACTTGTATCAAGTCAGGGATGAGCTGTAAGCTGGGTGCCGACTGGTACACAGAGTACACGTCGCTTTCCTGTTGATGGGAACGAACTTCTCCTCGACACGCGTGGACTTACTTCTTCTAAGACAAATCACCTCCTTTGCATGGTGTGAATTTAACTCTGTAGTCCACACGCAGTCCAGTGGGACAGACTGCCCGCACGGAGGGGCACATGCAGTAGGAACCCTCAGCCGTCTGGCTGCAGTCCTGAGTGCTAAGAGCCATTTCTGCATCTGTTTATGCAAACATTCTGGCTTCTTCTGGTGTTCACGTACCAAGAGTGGTTCCGTGTGCTGAAGTGGTTGGAAATTCTGATTTTACTTATTCTTTTGAGTATTTGACTACTTGCTTCTTTAGTAAGAATTTTCCTTCCCCTATCTGTGTTGTAATACACTATAATTTTAATGGTTCCTTTAAATCTGGTTATGACTGAGTACTAAAATTAAGTTTTCAACGATTGTAATAGACTTTTGTGAGTGATACTTTCAAGTAGACAATCGGTTACTTGACTGATTCCACTGCTCGTGAACCTGTTTGTGTGGCCCAGGCAAACAGTGCTCAGCATCAGTTTTGTCCCCGTTTAGATTGGATTGACCCGCACTCGCAGTTGATTGGTACAGAAATGGCCTAATATTAAAATGCAGTCATTTCGAATTAAAATCAAGCCAGGTTCTGAAATGACAACCGTCCCTGTTTCCCAGAGCTGCCGCTGCTGTGGGTGACAGAGGCTCCATTTAGCATCTCAGAATCAGTGACGCCGGGCATGTCTTCATTTATGACACGCTTCACATGACGTCCCCGAGGGCACGGAAGGCCGGTGCCTCTGCCTGGGGACCGTGTGCAGGCAGTGTCCGGCGCTCTGGGCCCTCCTGCAGGGTCGCGTCAGGTCCACACTCTCAGCTTTGTAACGTCTGTGTTCTCCCCGCCCTGTGTTTGGACCCTAGTTTTCGTTCTACGGGAACCTGTCCCCACGACGGTCTCTGTACCGCACCCTCTCTGACGAGAGCATGTGCAGCCACCGCAGGGGCTCCTCCTTCGGCAGCTCCCGCAGCTCGGTCCTCGACCAAGCCCTGCCCAGCGACATCCTGTTCAGCAGCACCCCGCCGCACCGCAGCACCCTGCCGCCCCGGACGCAGCCCGCACCCAGCCTGGGCAGCCTGCGCAGTAAGCTCGGGCTCTGGGAGCCACGACCCTGGGGCCTCGGCCCTCCGGTGATCTATGGAAGTCGGGGGGGCGGGGGTTATTTGTTAAACTACATACCATTTGCTGGTGTGTTTTCTTTTCTTTTCTTTTGAATATGATAAAACCCCCAGAGTGGATATTTTTTAAAAGTTAAGCAATACTACCAATTCTGAAGAAAATTGGAAAACCTATATTAAATTTTTTTTAAATCTTCACTCGAGGATATGTTTAGAGAAAGGAAAGGAGATGGAGAGAGAGAGACATTGATCGATTGCCTCCCCTACGCGCCCCAAATGGGAATCGAACCTGCAACCTTTTCTGGTGTACAGGACGATGCTCCAACCAGCTGAGCCGCCTGGCCAGGGCTCAGCATTTTTATCAAGTGAAATCGCAGCCTCGATGCCCTATCTTAGCTATTCTGTTTGTAGAGAAAAAAATGTCCGGAACCTGATTTTATAAAGAAAACTGGTGCTGAGGGGAGGTGGGCAGTGAGCAAGGAGGAAAGTTTGCTTTTCTCTCCTGTTCCGTTTCCCCTGGACCCTCAGTGCCTGGCAGGTGCAGGGGCGGAGGGGTGCCTGGCCTCACTCAGTCCCAAGCATTGGCAGGTTCCATTCACACCGTGTTTAAGGAGAATTCCGGAATTTTTCATGCAATGGGGATTGGAACTCTCCCGGGAATGGTGGGAATCTTCCTGTGAGAATAGACTGAGAGTTCTTGAGTTTTGAAAAATAAAAACAGTATTAGCTTGTGTGTGTCCCCAAATTCTATAGCTTAGACCCACAAAGGATGCCCCTTGAAATTAAAGGGGAGGGGCTGGAGTTGCAGAATAAATTTAAAAATTAGTGTTTTTACTTTTATAATGAAGCGCTCATACAAGACGCTGCAGACCCAGGTGGACTCGGGTGTGATAGGAGCTGGTGACCCCCGGAGAGCAGTGCTCACCACGGAAGGCTCCTCGGCCTTTATGGCGACAGTGAAGTCAGACGCAGTGCAGTGGTCACTGTGGTTCCAGGACTTGGATAAACAAACAGGAAGCCTCAGGATCCATGTCCTGGGCTGCAGGGCAGGGGCCCAGGCGGCAGGGCCCTCAGAATTTGTGAGTCACTTTCTTCTCTGAATCGGCCGGAAGAGCAGTGTGGGCTCCTGGGGCACCATTGACCACTGACCTGGGGGAGCCGGACTGAAGGCAACAGGCTTTGATGCCTGCGACGGGTGGGGCCTTTACTCCCCCTGTGAACTCAGAGGACAGCCCAGGTTCGCCTGCCGCTGTGAGCACCACGCACAGGTGGCTCCCGGCACAGCCCTTATCCCAGCCGCGGACCAGCACCGGCATGGGTCACCTGCACGCCGACCGCTCCTCACAGGCAGAGCCTAGTGCTAACACCGTACCCGGTGGTACCTGGAAGGTAGTAGGTGCTCAGTAAACATCTAGGTGATGGCAGGGATACCATTAGTGATACCTAATGTCAATTGAAGGGATTATAAGGGATTTTTGATGGTTTGGAGTCTCAAACAAACAAAAAACAGAGATGGTCATTTTTTTCTAATTATATGATTGTCCAAGCATTTGGGGGTGGGTGGGTAGTGTAGGTGCTTTTCATTTTGATAATCCAGAGGGGAATTATGCAGCTCTTACTTCATTAAGGTGACTGTCATTGACACTGGGGTCCTGCCCCTGCTTCCGGAAAGATCACGATGGAGATTTAGTTTGTGTGTCCTCAGCTGTCCTGCCAGACTTGCTATTTGCCAAGCAGCTCCGTCATTCCTGTCTGGGCAACTGTACCCGCAGACAGGCTGTCCCCAAAGGTGCCATCAGCCTCCTCACCACATCTCCCTGCTCTGTTTACCTTGAGAGACGACAGCTGTGTTCTTGTCCGTGTGTTTGTTGCCTCTTTTCCTGTCGCTTCGGAAGGGATGGGCCGTGTCTGTCTTGCCCACGGCTGCACCGCACCCCTGGCACACACCAGCCATTTACTAAAGGCGCCGTACAGATGGTGAGTGGAGGACTCCAGGTGGACTCCGGAGGAAGGGCGTCTTCCACGATCACCTTCACCAGGTCTGCAGTGTCAGACCTGTGTCACACGAGTCTTGGTTACGTTCAGGAGGAGGAGTAAGAGTTTATAGTAAAGAAGAAATATCACCAACTTTATTCCCTTCTCTTGCTCCTGGTTCTCCGTAAACGTTGGAGGAAGTTAGATGGATGCCCAGAGCTCCCGAAACTTAAGCCCTGAGACCTTCCCAGATCCCAAGTCATCAGGGCCACTTTGCACGTGGGCTGTGCGTGAGCTGTGTCCAGGGCCGCGAGCGGAGGCCTGTGGGCTGGCGGACCTGCCCTGCGGGGTGCAGAGCTGGGGCCGCCCACTCACTCACTCCGGGCGTCAGCTTCTCGGCACCAGCACCCAGAGGTGTGCCTTGGCTCCGTGACAGTGGCCCCCTTGGAACTGCAGGGTGCCCAGGGGTCAGAGCTTGAGTCTTGAACCCAAGACTGTTGCGTGTCCACTGTCAGGACTCTCTTGAGGGTTAGAGGACAGTGGCTCTTTGAACACTTAGTGGCAGGATGGGCAAGAGCAGAGGGAAGGGATTACAAGGGGTGTTAGCCCAGCACCCCACTCTCTCAACGGCACTGGCCATCAAGGAGGCTGGCCCTGTGCCCTGCATTCTCTTTGCATTTGTCCCTTGTCCTCTCTGTCATTTCCTCTCACCCTGGCTCCCTCCACAGCTGCTATGCTCTGACCCCGTCACTCCTGAAGAATTCTGTCACTCCTGGAGGGACTCATGACATAAGCAGTTGCCACCTAGTTATGTATTTTCTCTTAGTGCAGAGAACCTGCTTTAGGCAAAGCAGCCAGTGTGTTAGAGACGAGAAGGACCCCAGGCTTCCTGACCTTTCTGCCTGGGGTTTGAGCCTTGAACTTCTGGTTAAAGACCAGGACCTGGTAGGGGCTCAGCCCAGCCTCTGCACTGCAGGTCTCAGAGATGGCCACCAGGACAGGAGGGGACGGAGCTACCTCTGTACCCCAGCTCCCCTTGAGCTTTGGTGTTTCCGTGCACCCCTCGCTCACCCCTCGGCCAGGACTGAGTCTCTCGACACAGCATGTGGGAAGGGGGTATTTCCGTGAAGATGAGCATGTGGAGCGAGTGGCGGGAACCGTGCAGATAAACTGCCCATCACTCCCCTTCAGAACGGAGGTCGGACTAGGTCGGTGGGCTGACACACCCAAAAGCTGCAGTGGTAAAGCAGGGTGCCCTCCGTGTAGCAGGGTGCCCTCCGTGCAGCAGGGTGCCCTCCGTGCAGGAAGGTGCCCTCCATGCCGCGGGGTGCCCTCTGTGCAGCAGGGTGCCCGACAGGCTGAGCTGCAGCTGCTGGGGGCCGCTCAGAGCTGCCTGTGGGACGGACCCGCGGTGTCCAGGCCGGTGGCCAGCACTCTGAGTTCTGACGCCAGCATCTCACAGCGCCCGAGAGGATGTGGGAACAGAAATTACAGGTGCATTTAGTTAATTATGCCCCTTACTTAATTGTGGGCTCAGACAGCCAGGTGGTCATTATTTTGATTGTTCTAATTAGTCAGATGTGTTCACACGCAGCTGCGTGAACCTGGGCCAGTGTGGAAAGGGCACGTTACAGGAAGCCCAGCGGAAGCCTGTAGAAGACATGCCCCCAGACGCAGGGTCCTGTGCTGAGAGTGTACAGAGGAAAAGGAAGGTGAAGGCTCACTTGCGCAGATGAAGGGCGCTGGGGACCTTTCAGTGCAGGACGGGAGAGGTTTCTGGTTTCGCCAGGGACCCGGCCACCCCGGGTCACAGCACAGGGACCCGGCCGCCCCGGGTCACAGCACACTAAATGTTGTCCCCTCGTCACCTCGCCTGTTCCTGATGGAAACCAAGTTAGTCTCCCTGTGTTTGAAATATGCTGACAGTGGCCCTGGCCGGTTTGGCGCAGCGGTTGGAGTGTCGGCCTGCAGACCAGAGAGTCCCAGGTTCGGTTTCCACTAGGGGCACATACCAAGAAAAATAAAAATAAATTATTTAAAAAACAAAATATGCTGACATTCTAGGTGTCTCGGTTTGTGGTGGTGACTTCTTCAGGAGCTCTTTAAACTTCCTGGTCAGAGAGAGATGGCTCTGAACTCTGTACAGTAAGAACGTTAAGCAGACGGTCACCCCGAAGAGCACAGGATGTCCTGGTAGTGAGACTCGGATGCAGGCCCTCCAGAGGAGCCTGCCCCGGAAGAGACTTCTGTGAGGTTCCCATCCGTGCCCAGGCTCGGCTCCAATCTGCCTGCACCCCGTCTTTGCTGGCTGACCTAAGTGCATCTGTAGGTCGTGACGTTTTTGCAAACCCCTGATTTTCCAGCTGTGTCTCTTTGGGGGAACTGAGCACGGTCTCTCCTTTAGGGGCACAGGAGATCTTGTTTTTTTTTATCCTCACCCGAGGACATTTTTCCTTTTTTTTTTTTTTTTTTGCACAGATAGAGTGGGAGGGAGAGAGAGGAAGAGAGAGAGAGAGAGAAACATCGACGTGAAAGGGACACATCGAGTGGCTGCCACCCGCACGACCAACCAGGGCCGGGGACAAACTGCAACCGAGGTACATGCCCTTAGTGGGAACCGAACCCGGGTCTCTCCGGACCGCAGGCCGATGTTCTAACCGCTGAGTCAAGCCGGCCAGGGCACAGGAGATCTTTTACAAGAAGTTCCCTCTGCCCCTTGACAGCCGGACCGGTGCCCCAAGCTGTGAGCTGACTGACTCTGGTTTTGTTTCCTTTAGATGAGTTCTGGTTCTCCGACGGGTCCTTATCCGATAAGTCCAAGTGCGCAGACCCTGGCCTGATGCCCCTCCCGGACACGGGCACGGGGTTAGACTGGTCCCACCTGGTGGACGCTGCTCGGGCGTTTGAAGGTAAGGACTGGACCTCCGGCCCGGCGGGCAGCTTGGGGCCATGCCTGGCTGCGTGGTCAGTGTTTGGATGTCTTCACATCTTTGGAAATGAACACAAGCAGGACAGGCGTGAGCTGTGCCAGGGCACACTTCCTCAGCGAGCGCGTCATTTACTGAAATGGGCCACGATCCCATACCTGAGTTGAAGGTCCGGGAGCAGCCGTGACGGGCAGGTTACTTTCTTCTGTGGCCTCCGTTTCCTTACCTCATGCAGAGGTGGATACTTAGGGTGCACATTGTCTTTCCTCCCCGGGGAAGTGAGGTGACATGGGCGGGGAGGCCCTTCAGGGGTCGAGCGAAGCTGCTGGACCACGGGGCCGCCACGGGCCACGTGGTCGGTGAGGGCAGCCTCGGGCTGGTCTTACCTGTCCAGCTCGCATTCCCCGCGTTTGCTGCTGGGTGTTAGGAGGCGGGAGCTGCCCCTTTCCCAGCTCACAAAGGGAGACCCCAAGCAAGGCACCCGCTCCACTGGCATCCCCAGGCCTCACATGGTGGGGGCAAGCCGAGGCCGGGAGGATGACGTCACTCGCTGCTGAATTCTTCCACGGCCGCAGTGTCTGCTCCCAGGTGGCGGGCGATGTCAGCAGGGACCCGGGAGAGAGCCTGCGGCGCATCTGGAAGCTGCCGTCCCCGGTCTGACTCACCCTCTCCATCTTGGGTAGCTCGGCCCGTCACCTGTGCCAGCCAGGCTGCCTTACCTGCCCCTCCCCCCAGGAGCTTTCCCTGCTGCAGGGGCCTGCAGGGACTCTGCACTAATCCATCGCCACTGGTCCCTGGTCCTAGGCTTGGGTGGGTCAGTGAAAACTACGGTCCAGCTAATTGAGACACCAGGGACGTTCAGCTCTGCGAAGGCGGGAAGCTCTGAGGAGGGTAGAGTGAACGGGCTGTGCCTGCTTCCTTAATAGACGTTTTGACCTGCTCTGGGGTTATTGCTTTACAAGCAACTCTCCACGTGCAGACTTGGGGATGCCCCTCCTGCTGTGCTTCTCCGAGGTCCCCGGAGCCAGTTAGGAATCGTACAAGCCCCAGGCCCAAGGCTCCTTCCTTCTAGCTCTGACACTGGCCTAGATGTGGCCGAGCCCAGAGGAAGGAATATTGTCTTCACTCTGTCCAAAGCCACCGGGCAGTAGGTGCCAGCGTTTCCTCTGGCGTGTTCCTCACGCACGGTTCTCTCGCTGCCCCCAGGAGAACGTGGGAACAGCCGTCTGTCCCGTGCTGTGCCCCCCTAGTGCTTGCACAGGACTTGCACACTGCGTTCTGCTGTGTCCGCATGTTTCTTCTTCCTAGGACATGAGTTTCTCAAGGAAGGTTGCTTGTTACTTACCTTCTCTGTGTAAAGCACATGGCAAGGTAGAAATAAGGGCTGGTCACAGGAATAGGGCCCTGCAGCCTCGAGCTGTCCCCACTCGGCACAGGGTTTGGCCTCTGGGGCCCTTCTGCACTGCGTGGCCCTCCTGTCTCCACGTCCCTTTCACCAGCGGACTGCCGTCCTCGGGAGAGCCTGGCCCGGCCTTCGCTCCTGGCTCGGGAGCTTGCTGTGGCTCACGTCGTTTCTCGGGAACTAGCGTCTGGAATGCGCTAGTGAAGAACGCTCTAGTCATCAGGCTCTGCCTTCCACCAGATCATATGTAAAGAGTCATGGCCACGGCGTGGGCTTCTTCCCACTCTGGGGTGTAGCTGCCGGGGGAAGGCAGCAGGCCGGGCAGGTGAGCCGCAGATGCACGTGCCGAGTGCCCCGCGGGCTCCGCGACCCCCGTGGACGCGGCACCACCGAGTCAGGCGGGGGCTCCCTGGGCCTTCACTCGCAGCAGTGTGATGAGAAGAAGGAGGGAGGCTCCTGGGTAATTGAGACATTCCTGTTCGTTACTGTTTTGATTTCGTGAAACTGCTGTACACTAACTGCAACTTTCTTTTCACGAATAATTCTGAAGCTTTAAAAAAATGTTATAAGAGCTAGAATATCTTGCTGAAAATAATACAATTTTGCTTCAGTGTTAAGGAATAAAATTCATATTATTTGAGAGGGAAAAAATCACTTCAGATTTAAAACAGTATTTATCCGCTTACCTCTGTGTCCCTCGTTGTGTGTCTACGCTTTCTTTCCTCCCCTTCAGAATGAAATCTCAGCACGAGGTGCATCTTTTTGGGGCGCTGGGGTCTGGGGCGAGGGAGAGATCGAGAAAGCACAGTGTCACCATCATCAGTCTGGGATTCTGGCTGTGACCGCTGCTCCCTGCTGGGCGTGGGCCCGGGGACAGGTCACTTCCCACCTGACGTGCACACTCGGGGCCACACTGACCATTTGACAGTGACCCTCTGAGGACCCTGCTCCAGGGCACTGGCTCGGTCTTCCCGTCTGTGCCAACCCCTGGAGAGCTCCTAACCTCCAGTCTGTTCGCCAGAGAGTTTCCGAGTGGAGGTCAGAGAGTAGGTGGCAGTCGGCACCTCAGGAAAAGGAGAAGCGCGACATAGGATTCCAGCCCCCCAGCGCCCAGATGGGAGCAAGACGGAAAGACTGTGGGAGTCTGTTTGCCGGGCGTTGGTTACCTGCCCTTCCTCAAGTCTGCAGACAATGTTTATACAAAATAGAGAGCTTATGTCCTGTTTACAATTTTCAGCGCTGCCCCGAGGGCACTGTACCACCTGGAGACAGCAGTCAGCTCTGGGAAGCCCAGAGCCCTGGCTAGTCCGACTGTGCCGGTGCGCTCTGAGGGCTGGCTCCGTGGGGCTGGCTGTGCTCCGTCGCATGAGCGCTTCGGAGAGGAGTCTGCCCCGAGATGGCCCAGGCGCCCTTGTAATGACCTGTTGTTCCAGTTCTCAAGGCCATTTCGGAGCTAGACTGAACATCATACAGAAAAGATAGTCCAGGTGGGCACTAGCCTTATTGGGGGATCATCCGTAACATGTCAATCACTAGGTTGTACACCTGAAACCAAAGTGATATGTATGTCAACTGTAATTGAAAAATTAGAAAAGAAAGAAAAGATCGTCCAGAAAATCCCCATGTCTTGTTACAAACGAAAAAATGTGATTCAAGACGCCTTCCTGAGCTCGACCCCCTCTGGAATAACGCCTATGGTTGGACATAACTAGTCGGCACATCTGAAAACAGGCTTTAAAGTGTGGCTGCAATTGCCCACTGGATTGAGATAACGATTCTCCGTTCATCTCGAGCAGACGGGCCTCCCTGACTGCCCGGTGCCATGTAGGCCCCGCGCTTCGGCCTGTGATGTCCTCCCTCTTGTCTAAGAGCTAGAGCTGACGTTGGAACCTGAGTCTAAGAATTTAGAGTTTACTGTCCCTTCAAGGACAGAGCAGAGCACCTGGTTAATCTGCCCAATGATGTTCGCTTACATGTCTTAACTGTGGTGTGCAGAGGATATGACGTCTGCGGTGTTCCTGGGGTGAGAGCTGCCAGGCGTCCGGGGCGTGAGCCTTCAGTGGGGCCCCGCAGAGGGGAGGAGTGTTTCTACACCTCGTGTCTGAGCGCAGGGCCGTGGGAATAGGACTGCGTGAGAAAGATAGAAGCAAAAACTCCAGCTGGAAAGTTTTAAATATTACTCTAATAATTGTGCTAGGAAGAATTAAGGAATATAACGAGACCTTGTTTTTGGTGAGTCATGATGAAAAAGATGCTACCTGTTAAAATCTTTGGACTGCAGCCAGAGAATAGTCCTTAAACGAAAATGTATTGTTTCAGAAACACTGAACTACTCAAACGTGACAATTAACTAACTCGACTATACTTCCAGAAGAGGCTGCTAAAGCTGTGAAAGAGAACAAAACACGAAGGAAAGAGATCAAATCGTTTTTTGAAACTGGCAAATGAAATTTTAGTGCAGTTCATAAATAGTCTGATCAATGTCCTTTGTTGATAAACCAAAATAAATTTCATCAGAAAATGAAAAGTACAAGTGATAATATTAGAAATGATAAAGGAAAGTAGTATTAAGAAATACATAAGAGAGATTTTAAAAATTAAGGGCTGTCGAGCATCTATGTAAGAATAAGTCTGATGAATAAGATAACTGGACACGTCTCGCAGGAAAGGGGGGTGGGCGCATAAGCCGTCAGAGGCAGAGTGTGGAGGCACTGAGTTACCCACGACTGTCCCCAAACCCCAGGACACCTGACACTGAGTTTACAGTTACTGTTTTCAAAATTTGAAAGAATAATAATGCCCATGTGGGCATTTTTCTTTAAATTCAGACACAGCCTTGTTGCATAATAGGATTCTTTCCTGATAACGTGCATGCACACACACACACACACACACACACACAATTATAAGACAGTATTGGTCATTAATATATATATATATATTTTTATTTTCACCCGAGGACATATTTCTATTTTTTGTTCAGATAGAGTGGGACGGAGGGAGGGAGGGAGGGAGAGATAGAGAGAGAGGGAGAGAAACATCGATGTGAAAGGGACACATCGAGTGGCTGCCTCCCACATGACCAACCAGGGCCGGGGACAAACTGCAACCGAGGTATGTGCCCTTAGCAGGAACCAAACCCGGGTCTCTGGACCACAGGCTGACGCTCTAACCACTGAACCAAACCGGCCAGGGCAGTCATTAATATTGATGTGAGAAAGCTTAAATGAAATTCAGTAGTAAATTAAAAAGAGTATTCATTGCTATTGGCAAGAGTTTAGCTGGTTTAATAAAAGAAAACTTTTAATTATAAGTTACAGTAGATGAAGTAATTAAGTAATATCAATTTCAGAAACAGGGTGTATCTAATATAATTAGAAACTATTTCTAATAAAAATTAAGATATGAAAGGTACCTTCAAAGTTTAAAAAAGGAAATCTGTACTCCAAATAGTTGCATAATAAGTAATAGGAAGATATGATAAACATATCCCTAAATCCAGAAACCAAACAAAGGTATCATTTGAGACCATGTCCTTTATTATTATTTTTGAAAATATATAATATTAATTGATGAAGTT